ACATTTATTTTGCAGAGTTCTGACTGTAAATTTCCAAATATATGTATGTTTTCTTAGATCTTGTGTTGAAAATATGCATTTTTCAATCAATTAGTTGCACCAATATCTTAAAATTGTCAAATGGTGTGACGAATTGGCATAAGAATCACTTTATATTTTCATATAGAGTGAAAATAGAATACGTATTTTCCTCAAAACATTTTAATCATGACAAAATCCATTGACGTAAACATGATCATTTGGTTTATTTTTCTCAATCAACATGCAAAGGAGGCCATTGCTCCTCAAATCTTCTAAAATAACTTTCAAGAATTCTCTTAAATCTTATGATGATGCTTACAAACCATTCATGTTCCTAAATATACGGGGGGGCGGGGGGCTATCCTACATTGAACCTCTTTATTACGCAAGTGTAAAAATGTATTTTGGAACTAGATGCACATTGTGAAGTGAACTAGTAACTCCTCAAATATAAGTTGAAATATGAATAAGTGCGTTGTTTCACTGAACAGAAGGGCAAAACTTGTAACATAAAACCCACACAAACACACAGACAGATCTGTCTTTAAAGCAACGTTACCCACAACCCCCTGCACTCCTTTATCCAGCATATGAAAGGACTAGGACAAATGAATGACAAAAAGGAGAAAATGGAAAGCGGGGTCAGGTTGGCTATGAGAGGAGGCCCAAAGAGTGAAAGAAAAGTTCACATCCACAAAATGAAGAATTTTAATTATTTCTTTACTGGCTTTAACATAGACACACACACACACACACACACACACACACACACACACACACATACAAAACAAAAACAAGCATTACAGCTCTCGAATCCTCACCGCACATGAATCACAGTGTTACAGATGTTCCAAGATTACAAACAGACACACAAACAAAAGCTGAAATCAACAAGACCTTTCGCATCACTAAAAAAAACAGTTGTTTGTTAGCGACACAAACGTGGTCCGCGCAAAAGAAAAACAGCATTTTTGCTCATTCATATACACCTACCCAGTCATTCGAGCCCCGAGTCATAAATGTTATGACGAATAATGGGGTAAACAACTATAAAACGTGCAATTCATTTTTGTTACAATGATCTTACCATCACAAGTATTATTCCCCTTGCTTAACATCAGGAGGAGAGCACTTCAAATAAGAAAGTGCTCCGAGATATCAGCATCTATATATCCATACATATACTTTATATGTATACACATCCACCCGATCACAGAGATTCAAACATCTTTGCAAACGTAATGTTATAGGACAAAACAAAAGAAACAATATAACCTGGTACTTTCTTTATACAATAGTATTTTGATGTGTTCCTTTTTTCTATTTAGAAAAAATAAATGTCGACCTGGAGTCAACCAATTAATAACAGTCATCAGTGCAATAGTTTCAACAAGAGTAAAAATATCAAGTTTAAGACAAGCGATGCATATTTATTCCGCCTACATCAATCTGTCGATGTCATGTACGCAGAGGATCAAAGATGGAAACATCAGCAGCTCCACCGAAACCCTCGCACAACTGCATGGAGCTGAATCGATAACTGATATTCGTCCTCATTCGCTCACTGTTGGCCACTGTATCAAGAAAAACACGTACATAAAAGCAGCATTGAAACAAACGTCAGGTGCCATGGCTCTTAGAAGCCGCAGGCAGTCTTCTGAACGAATCTGTCGATGTTTCCAGCAACAGACCTCAAAGTCTTCTCAATGTTCGTCTGTGTGGTCCTGCTCAGTAGTTAACATCTGTAAGCCTCAGCTCCTGCAGTTACCAAACCAGGCACTAGGGGGCGATAAAGGCTCCACATTTATGTGCAACAAAACTCCCTGCATTTAATAGTCATGCAATGCATTTCACTTTTTTTGCAATGGAAACAAACTGCAATACTAAAGGCTTAAGTTAAAACCTGCTTGGCTAAAGAAGTCCGAGTAACCAATGGAACATTTGGTTCAGAAATCGTCCCGCGTGAAGATGGTATCAAGTATCATCACCCAAGCTGGGTCTACTGATTCCGGAGACCAAAGATGAGCTAAAGACGAGGAGAACTTATGATTGTTGAATACTTTCAAGTCGAGGTAGCTGATGCAGGGAACCAGGAAAAAGACGGGGGAGATGGTACACATCTGGGGCCGAATCTCCACACGGGACAGTTTAGCCTTTATTGAGTCCAAAGCAGCTTTATGTCAAACCCCACATCTTATAATAGCCACGACATAATTTAAATGGATCATCTCAATGTACCTTCATAAATAATAAGACAAACCCAGGCTGTAGTCACAAGGGCGTTGATTCAAAATACTGAAAGAAGACTGTCCCAAAGGCGACTTTCCTGACATTTTGATACAAAAAAGGCAAAGCAGCGGCTTTCGGAACAACCAAATTGATGCACTGGTCTGTGTTGAAGCTAACTGCTAAAGGTGTAGGACGAGGAAGAGACTACTGGTATAGAGAGATGCAGTAAAGCTATGAGTACAGTACTTGGGAATCAGTCCATTGTTACTTAAGAGGACATTTAGCACTGGTCACCAGTGCCACATGATTCAGATCGACTCTTTTAAAGGACAGTGTTTAGCCAAAACACAGTATGGCTTTCACTCTGGAGTTCACCACACTCAAATATTCCAGCATTCAGCCACAGCATCAAGTGCGTTCTCGAGGTGGACATTCAAAAAAAGCTATAGTACCATCACAAATTCCAATCAGCGTGCGCTTGTCTCCTCGCAAGAGCCGATCGAATATGTTCTGACGGAAAAGAAAGAGGCTACAACCCTCGATTTGGTTTTAAGGAGCTTCTCCATCGTCCGTGACGCACGCGAGAGCGCAACGAGCTTCCCGCGCATGCATCACCGCGCGCCCGAGGAGTACTTGGCCTTGGTGATGAGGTACAACACGATGTCTTGGTGTCCCCCGAACGCCGCGATGTGCAACGCGCTCCAGCCTTCCCGGTTTGCGAGCCGAATGTCGGCTCCGAATTTGACCAGCAGCTTCACGAGCTCCAGATTCCCGTCAATGACCGATTGGTGAAGCGCAGTCTGCCCCTCGGGACCGAAGGAGTTCACGTTAAACTCGCAGTTGGTCATGTTCTGCAGCAGCGAGTGGAGCTCCTTGGTGTTGCCCTTCTTCACCGCCTCCTGGAAGACTCTCTGCGGAGCCGAGCACGTCGATACATCCGCCTGGCTCATGATGCCAACCTCACAGCTTTACCGTGTTGGGAGACAATATCCCAAACGAAACAAGTAAACGACACACTGTGCAAACGCAGTGTGCGGCTATATCCAAAGCGCGTAGGTCTTCGTGTGTCTCAACAGCAGCACCAGGTTACGGTAAAACAATGCTATTAATCGAGAGATGTATCTCCGGTTGAACACATTCGAGAGCCGCCTGAGGTAAATCCAGCCAAACTTTACCTCAAAAATACCTCGCGTGTCCCGCTGTGAGGGAGCTGTAATAAACAGTCAAATTGTTAAAACGTCGCCCTTACATTGAACATTTCAAAGTGAAAAACATCTACAAACACTTGCCTCTTTGCGTTTGGACGGGGTGTGACGACTCTAACACTACCCGCTTTCCCGCTGCTGTTGGTCCGTGGCGCGGTCCCGGGGATTCTCTGCCTGAGCTCCGGTTGCCAGGGGCATATTTTAGACGAACTACTTTGCATAACAATGCGTCTCTATTGAAGCAAGTTTTGAGGGGTTGGCGGGGCTGGTCGATGCTGATTGGCTGGAGAGTTGGCTTGGGGGCGAGACCAAGCGTTCGGATGGAGAAGTGGGCGTGGCCAACTCTCCAAACGTCCTGAAGTAATAAAGGTACCCCGTAATTTTGTATTCGGTTTGTCGTTAGGTTAGGATGAGCTACCAAATGGCACGCGCAATAAAAGTGAAGCATATATTTTGGGTATAAAATAAACGTTATATGGCATAGTATCCTAAAGTAAAAGGAGAAAATGGAGGTCCAAAAAAGGGCAAGCATAAATATATAAGTATTTCAACAAAAGAACAAATCCATTTTTAATGTATGTCTACATTTCAGCAAAAGCTGTGTGATTAATCAGGAGAATGGGGGGAAAATTGCACTGTCAATAAAAAAAAGTGAAAATGAACCAGATTTTCGTTTAGTATGGCATGGTGAGCTTCCGTTCAACGATGCAGTAGACATGGTACAACATGGTTGATTGTGCTAATAAAACCAAAGATATTGTTTTCAAGTGAGGCGGGGTTTCTTCACTTTTGAGGAAATGGAACTGAACGAGCCACCTTTAGTGTTATTTTCAATTTAAAAATAAATGAATGGCTTTAGAGTCAAAATTTTATTTTGTAAAATAAATAAGTTAATAAAATGTAAGTATATTTAACGTAAAATAGCCCAGCTCTAATTATAACACATCTCTGTGTGTAAATTGTAATCAAATTTCTGTGTACATATGTTAAATATGTATGTGGGTTTAATGTTGGTGCTGGTGGCTGCTAATAGGACGTGTTGATTTGATAGTCTACTATAAAAAAAAATCTCAATTCTCAAAAAAAAAAAAATACTCAAATTTGAGGGGAAAAAAAAGAAGCCATCATGTGTTCAAGCATTGGGTTTAGCAGTTAGTGCAGAGTTTCCCTGTAATTTATGCAAACTTTACAAAAAAATGTTAACTACTCATAGCAGTGTAGTAGAACATTTCCTGTGTGGCATCGTACATATCCAAGCACAAACGCAGCAAAGACAGACATGAGCCAAATAACCAAGATATAAAAGAAGAAGTTCAGAAATATAACAGATGTATGCGGAGTATGGTCATACAGCCATCAATCAGATCTACAGCCTTTCAAAATATGAATGAAGTAGCACACAGTACAATTTAGAAACCTCATCTCCAACTTGTGTTGTCGGATTGCTACAAGGACAGCACGGAAGTATAACTGCGAATTACACATTAGCCTCAACGTCAAAGTACAAATACAAGAAGTACTGACATTATATGTGAAATGGTAACCTTTTCTGTAGCTCAGTCAGTAGAGCGCAGCATTAGCAACATAGAGGTAATGGGTTCAATTCCCAGGGCAATAACATGCATTAATTCCTTGGAATGAAAATGTCTGGCAAAGCATAGGTCATTGCTGTACATACAGTTACCTTTAATATATAATCATCTATACTCAACAAAAAAAAAAAAAGATTAAAGAAGTCAGTATAAACCAATCCCACCCCAAAGGGTTGTCCTCTACTGTGTTTTTTTATTGCACCATTTTCCCCACATGCAACAAAGATGTCTATTACTGAATGTCTACTAAACAATATTTGCTAAACAAAAACTCAAACAAATCAGCCAAAATTTACTACCAACCACTGGCCAAGGATGGTGTGATCGATGTGTGCATGAACAAAAAGAGATGAGTAAGCTTTAGAATGATTTAGGACTTTAAATAATGAATAATTATTTTTTTTATCAAAGTTAAGCTTCTCAACTCAATAGCAACTCAAAAGAAATCCCCACCTGGTGTCCCCTTTTCTTACTTTTAAACTCCAATTATTCATTAAAACAACACACCAGCTTCCAAAAAGCATAAAAGGGTTTCATGACACTTAAAGCTAAATTGAGAAGGGATTATCTCCAGGAATTTATATTTTTGGTCATACTGTTTTAACTGTGTTCATTTTATAAACATGATTCATATGTGTTGGGATCAAAATCTGCCACCACTTTCCTACCTGCTAACTGCAGTGGAGTCTTTATTGCTGTTATAGGCAGCCCGAAACACCTTTCTCGAAACCAAACTTGCAGTCACTGCAGGTGTTTCTCATTAACAGCAAGCGCTCCACCACTTCCGGTCGTTGAGGCCCAACCTGAAGTACGTAATCCTCGTTTCGGACTGTAGCGCGGAGATGATCATCTTTAGTGCGCATGCTCGGGATTATAACGGTCGATTTTGATAACGTTATTTATGCGCTTTCGTGCTCGATTGTGGGAAGAATTAATTAATAGCTTTTCGGTATGGAAATATATACTTATTAAAATGATTGGTTCATTAACATCAAACGTAAATCAACAGAGTTGAAGAAAAATGTTGAATGAGTCTGGAAACATCAATTCATTTTAATTATATCAGTGGAGTAACTTTAGCTGTATTAAAAAATACAGAAAATTTCCGAAAGTTCTCTAAAGAACCAAAGCAGTCAACAAACTAATTACAGCCAAAACAGATCCACCGAAAATCGCCTAAAAAAAGGATCCACAAAAATCCTTTACAAGCTCCAATCTTTACATCTCAAGAGCACGCACTGACAATTAATCCTTTAGCCATTTTTCTTTATAAAATGTCCCACAAGTAAGACTCATTTTAAAATTCATGAATTTAATATTTAAATTCAAAGTAGTCACACACTTTATCTCTGCCACTATTATTGATTTATTTTCATTTATGTATTTTGGGGATGTGCATGAGTGGTTGTGAATGTAGAATTTTTGGGGGGGTCATTAGAGACTCATTTCCATGGATTTTTTTTTTCAAAACAGAGGCAAAGTCTTCATGCAAACCCTTTCTTTTGTCAATGTAACATTTATGAAATGTGGACCTTTTTTAACCAAACGCTTCATAAATTCCATTCCATTGCACAAACATACTGAAGAGAGGTGCACCTCCACTCCACCTTGTATGAATGTCAGTGTGCGTGATTGACTCACCTGAAGCGCTACCTCGATCTGCGCATGCGCGCTGTAGGAAGTCCTACCGCTGTACCGTGGGAACCGGACGACTGCAATTTCAGCCTTTCCTCACACGCCGCAACACTATTTGCGGGTGTGCAGCCGTTTGCCCCGTTTGTACAGAAGCTTCGAACATTTGGTTCGCCAAACCGTGGCACGTTTTTGCCGCTTAGTGCGTGTAACCGATACGTGCAGCACAATTTTGCTTAAATACGTTTAGATCAATAGAAAACAGTCACGTGACAAGGGTTCTGTGTTACGTCCATCTAAGTCTAAATTACATATAAAATCTAAAATAATAATTTAAATCGACCTAACTACATTACATTCAATAGTTTTACATATTCGGATGATTATTATGCAGTATGTTACTTTAGCAGTCAAAAAAATACTGATATATATAAACGAAAACAGGAAACGTGTGATGTCTCCTTTAAGAAACAGGTTTCTCATGCAATCTCTCAAGTCTCCATAACCTCACCACTTTAGGAAGTCCTCTAATTCTTGCTTGTGCTTAGGCTTTTGCATTCCCGTGTTAACTTTCTTTTTCTACATGACATTGAATACAGGACAATAAACCATGTAGAACCTGATCTCACTCAAATAAACACAGTGTGTTAGCATTTGGAAGCAATAACTCGATGTCCATGTTACTACCTGTAGTTTCTTTTCCTAACAAGTCTTTCTCATCTCCTGTGGGGCAAGTGTGAATACTGAATTTCAGGTCTTGTGTTTTCAAGAGAATGTTAGCACATTTCTCTATGCTCACATATCTGATTTCCACGAAATACAGCACAAAGTTGTTTTCTTTCCCATAATTTAAAGGAATGAAGTGATGTGCACTCGTGTGGTATTTGAGCATGTGTGAAACAGAAGTGTTTTTAAAGACCTGCCAGTCAGGCTAAAATTTCTTCGCACATCTGTTGGCTAATCAGAACGATGTGTCCGTCTGGGAAATATTTGGAGAGAAAATGCTGGGCCTCTCTGCCAGTGGCTAAGTATTTCTTGAGCCGGGATTCTGTGCAATTTCTGAGACTTACATTGATTTACGGGGGCCTTTGGGGAGTTGAAATACTTCACTCGCATTAAATGCTGAAAAAAAGACATTATTTCCATAAGCATTCATTCCAAATTGAGCTGTTTCACACACTTCCATGCCCACAGGTGTATAAAATCAAGCTCCAAAGATGCAGGCGGCATTTGAAAACAATGGGCCACACTCTGCAAACTTCATTGTGGTTCAGTCAAGTCTCACACTTATCACTGCAAAATATTCTAAAGTCGACAGCCAGTGGATGAGTCTGGGTCAGTGATGTGCAGTCAGGGGAGGCAGGTGAGGTTGTGCCCGACTTGTCATTATGGAACGTATAAATACATAAAATGTTATATTTATGGAGTAATGTGTACTTTACTTGTATTTTCCATTTACATTGACCAATTTGGATGTCTTTATACATTTGCCGTTCGAGCAGAGAGGCAGCACCTTGGTGAGGCTTACCATGGATTGCGCAATGACTGCAATAAGATGATTTAATGTCTCCACTTTGGTGATGAAATAAGCAACCAGTTGCTTTTAAAACTGAGAAAGAAAAGGAACACTTCTACAAACAAGTTATCGGTTCTTTTCATGGTCTTCCTTGAAAGGAGAAGGGGAAGACGATAATAATGCTAAAAAATGTTGAAATGAAATTTTAAACCTATTTGCCGTTGTCAATGAAAAGGTTCTAAATGGCAATTCAAATGGTCTCAGCAGGTAGGGTAGGCACATAATGAAAAGGTGTTGAATAATTTCAGCAACAGGTTTTAATTAAGGCGTTTAATTAAGTTTTGTAGAAATAATAAATTTGTATTAACCCAACAATACATTTTTTTTAACCCAAAAAAAAATAATTATCTCTGGCCAGCAAATCAATCCGTGAGTCACAAGAAGGAAGCAAAGCGTTTAATAGGGAAAGTCAACATTAGCATCGGATAATCCACAACTAAGAACTACCAGCATGTAGGATAGGCACATGATCAACCATATGAATGGTGTTGAATAATTTTGTCCTTGGGTTTCAATTAAGGTTTTATTAAAAGTCAAAGTTGACTGCATTGTTTTCATTGAATGACCAATGACTGCCTAGTAGGTAGGGTAGTACAAGATCAACCATATGAATGATGTTAATAACTGGTTAATCCCAATTAATTCAAAACTTTCAACGTGAGCCAATTGCCCTGGTATTCCATTGGTGGAAATCAAATGATTGACAATTTGTCCCTCCCATGTGATTTTAACCCAGTGCATGAGTCTGGAGAGAGAGAACTAAAGACCATTATTTCAGTTCCATAAACCATGACCCAATTTTAAAAACGCCTACATTTTAGACCATTTATGTAGTCAGGATTTTCACAAAAACTTCACTAATCTTTCTTGAGAATCACAGTTGACCGAGGTCATCGTTTAAAAATAGATGTATTCAAAACTCTAATATCTAGACTGCATCAAGGACCGAGACTCATGCATGAAATGCCACAAATCTAAGCCCTTTCCTCTCTGTACAGAAGCAGGATCTCTTGAGTGTTGGTCCAGCCGAGGCAGACGGCGAGCGGCCCCTGAGCAGGACATCCCAGCAGAGGGAGGGCCCTCAGAGCCCCATTCAGCTCAGAACCACGTGCTCGGGGAGCGTGGGAAAGAGGCGAGCTTTTCTTCCCAGCACAGAAAGAGCTGCTATCGAATAACAGGCTGAACGGGGCCAGGTAGAGCTTTAGATTTGCACCGACTCCCTTCTCTCCAGCTATTGCTAGCAGCGCTCTGACATTCAAGAGAACATATTCGATTCTATTCGAGTAAGAGATGTTTGCAGCTCATCTTGTTGCAAAGCACCAGAAAACTGTTCTCAGCATGTTGGAAGGAAAAGCGTGTCTGGCAGGAGATTGTCCTTTGGGGAACACCAAGCTTGTTTTTCAGCAGTTTTGACAGATTTACAAATGGAGATAGCGCTTAAGACTAAACATAAACAGAGTCCCTTTGAGAAAACAAAGTGTTCGGTTGGTTCTACGTGAAAACTGCAGCAGAGAAAATGTGCTAAACGCAGTGGTATAGCAGTTTTAGTACTACTTGAATTGTTTCCCATCTTTAGGCATTAAACTTTTTTTCTGAAAGATTAAGGTTTTTGAAGTAGGCTTTGTATGTTTGATCATCTAAAGAAATATATTGATTAAAAATGTATTTCACTTTTATTTTTGGCTCATAAAGTGGGCTTGCCAGTGACCTTCCTGGAAGGAGTTTGCATGTTCTCCCCGTGCTTGCGTGGATAATGTTAATTGAATAATCTAAATTCCCCTTAGGTGTGAATGTGTGAGTGAACGTTGCCCTGCAATG